ATAAGAAAAAGTACAAATAAAGGGGGCAGAAGTATTTCCAGACCTCTTTCCTGTAAAGCAGCTGTTACCAAAACTGGGTACTTGGCAAAAAAAAAAAAAATGGTGGCATGGTATGGCAAGGAACAGTAACAATACAAAATAGTAGCCTAGTTTTTTATAAGTTTAAGAATACTAATGGGGGAAGGGCTCCCATTTTGACAAGAGTTACTGGGAAAACTGGAAAGCAGATTAGAATAAATTAGATTCAAACCAACATCTTACACCAGTAAGCTGAAAATGGATATTTGAACTGAACAGAGCTCACATCATTTAAAAATTAGCAAGAGGAGATATGGTTAGGGGAAGAATTTATAAGCAAATAGGAAAGAGGTCATAAAAGATAAAATGTTCTACCTTGATTACCTAAAATTAAAAGGCTTTTGCATGTTATCAGTCAACAAAGATGAAAACAAAAACTATTGAGAGGGAAAATACTTGAATCAAATATCACTCATAAAAGTATGATATCCAAGATATATAGGAAACTGATGCAAATATATAATACCAAGAGCCATACCTCAATAGATAGGTGCTCAAAAGATATGAATGTCTCTAAAGAACTGAAACTTACATATGATCATTTAAAAAATTCATATCACTAATAGATGCAAGTTGAAACAACTCTGAGATTTCATTTTATTACTCTGCAGAATGACAGAGATGACAAAATAGGAACAGATAATGTTGTTGGAGGGGCAACGGGAACATGGGCACACCAAATACACTTTTAAAAATACATTTTCTTGACATTTTGTTTTTATGTTATCCGCATTTCATAATATATGCTTTTTACTCCTCAGAGACAAAATCCCTTATGAAGAAAAAACAAAAAAAATCATTAAAATTAGCCAACACGATCAGCACAGTCTGATATTATATGCTGTGTTCCACACTGAGCCCTCTATCTCTGCAAAGAAACTAGAAAGGTTCCTTATTATGTGTTTTCTTGGGGTCCAAGTTTGGTCATTATAATATTGCAGCATTCAGTCTTGTTTTATTGTCGTCCTTTCCATTTACATTGTTGTAGTCATTGTGTATATTATTTTCCTGGGTCTGCTTACTTTATTTTGTATTAGTTCATATAAGTCTTCCCATGCTTCTCTGTATTCATTTTTCTTACAGCACAGGAATATTCCATCATATTCATGTACCAAAATTTGTTTAGCCATACTCCAATCAAATGGCACCCATTTTGTTTGCAATTTTTTACTACTACAAAAATATAATACTAATATACTGTTTGTGGAGCTCAGAACTGGTCCAGCTATTCTGGAAAACTATTTGAAATGATGAAAGACAAGTGACTAAACTGTCCAAACCTTTTGTGCTAGCATTTCATTACTAAATAAATCAAAGATGATAAAACATGGAAATAGAAACCTAATATATTCCAAAATAGTATAGTAGCACTCTGGTAGCAAAGAACTGGAAACAGTAAATACTTATTGATTAGGGAATGGCTGGGGGGGAAAGCCCAAAACACTGGTATTTGAGGTTAAGGGAATATTATTACTTAAGAAATGACATGGGAAGATTTGTATAAACTGAAGCATAAAACAAGCAGAGCCAAAAGAATAAGATATACAATGACTACAATGGAAGGAAGTCATCACTTAGTATTTTTTCTTTTAATGATGTTCCTGGAGAACAGATGATAAAACATGTACTTTCTTCCCATGGTAAAGAAGTGGCAAATACCTGGCCAGAGTACAGAATATATGGTTAGATACAGTTGTTGTATTGGGTGTTTTTTGCTTAATTGGTTTTCTTTGTTAAAATGAATGGTTTGGTGTGGGGAGGCTAGAAGTTGAGAAATTTTTAAAGATGAAGCAGTCAATAAAATATATATTTTTTTAATTAAAATATGTGGTTAATAGGATAAGAAGGAAAACATTTGACAGGGAAAAAGCAATATGAAATTATTCAAAGAAAGTGACTAAAATGTCTGTCTACCCTTTGACCCAGAAGGTCTGCTGATAGGCACATACCCCAAGGAGGACAATGGTAAAGAAAAGGCTCTATGTACACCAAAATACTTGTAGCATCATTTTTTATGATACCAAACCCTAGGGGGAAAAACTGGATGCCTTCAATCAGAGAATGGTTAAATATATTGTGGTACATGAATGTAATGGAATATTAACTGTGCTGTGAGAAATGAACAAGATGAATACAGAGGTGCATAGGAATACTTTTATGAATTGATGAAAAGTGAAATAGAACCAGGAAAACAACATACATGACAACAATGTAAATGGAAAGAACAGCAAAAAAAAAAAAAAATTGAATGCTGTACAATTATAACAAAGTTGGCTCAAAGAAGATATATGAAAAGGTACTTCTCCCAACGTCTTTGCAGAGATATGGGGACTATTAGTATGCAACATTGTATGTAATGTAAGTCTTTTTCAATATGTTGTTTAGGTTTGCTGGACTCTTTTTTTCCTCCTCTTTGTTATGAGAGATGCTCTCAGAAAGAGGGTGGGCAGGGTGAGCAATAAATTAGGAAATGTAAGTTCATATGAAAAGATGTGATTCAATATTTTAAAAAAGATATGGTCTAAAAAACATGAACTTTAATTGCAATGACCAATCTTGGTCCCAGATTACAGTAGTCACTATCTGTATGACCTTAGGCAAATCACAACTTCCTCGGATTTCAAATTTCCTCATATATAACATGAGAAGTCCTTAAATAGTTCTAGATCTATGATCCTATGATCAGCTCTTCATTTAAACAAGCTTGGCTTAGACAATTTCTTTCCCCTTTGATATTTGCTCCATCAAGGAAAATAATTAGATGAGCTAGTATTAAGTCTATGAAGTCCAATGAAGCCCAAATATTATTTGGAGTGATCCTGTATGGAGGATAAAATCCTATTGATCCTGTATTTAAGAGGATAAAATGCTACTTTGAAACTCTTAAATGAAGAGTTTTATTTTAATAATTTTAAATTTTAATAGCAACTGCCTGTAATGGTATAAAAAACAGCAACTGGAACTGCCCAAGGTTAGTTGTAACTGGGAGAGTCCCACACATGTCCCATCTGATAAAGAACCAACCCAGATAGAGTAATGATAAGTTGTAGAAACAGAAGCTCCTCCTCCATCCAGTTCAGAACTACACAAAAAGACAGCCTGATGAATGAACTGGAAAACGACTTCCTGGGAAACCAGTTTCAGTTCTGATAAATACGTCTGAAGCCAGCCAGTGCTCTACATGTGGCCTCAAATCCAGTCCTTTGACTGAATCCAAACTTCATATAACAAATCTTCTTAATAAAAGGATTTGTTCTGTAAAACTTGGACTAAGTCAAAAGGCTTCGCCCAAGGACCTAGAAAGCCACATGTGGTCTCAAGGCTGCAGGTTCTCTACCCCTGTCTTAGACTCTATAACAGGGAACCACTGGAGTTTACTAAATTGGTCAGACATGCCTTAGGAGTATTGTTCTGGAAATTATGTGGAGGATGGATAGGATCGGGGAGATCAAGGTGGCAAGTAGCCACTGAAGCTATTGTCAAGGGGTGATGAAAGCCTGAGCCCTTTGGGTAATGGAGGTAGAATGTGCAATATTCAACAACTGTTTTGAATATGGGAGAAGGAGTGAGAGAGGAGTTGGAGAATGAAAATAGAAGAATCAAGGATGACTCCAAGCTGGATGACTGGTGTTTTCAATCCTGAGACCTGGAGGTTGAGAGGGTTGAGAAAGAGTGAGTTATTTTGGACAAGTTGAACTTGAGATCATCTGACAAGTTGAGTCGAGTCACTCCAAATCTTCATGACCCGATTTGGGGTTTTCTTGGCAAAGATATTTGAATGGTTTGCCATTTCCTTTTCCAGCTCACCTTACAGGTGAGGAACTGAGGCTGGATTTGAACTCATGAAGATGAGACTTCCTGATTCCACTACCTGCCCTTCCTAGGGTTCCCAATAAAGATGACCAAATGGCTGCTATGGCTGTGCGTGGACAGCCACAACTGCAGTTATTTGCATGAAAGTGATAACTCTAGGTATGGAACTGGATGAGACCACCAGGAAATATGGTATAGGAGGGAGAAGAAAATAGGGCCCCCGGAAAAAGCCCTAAGATACACACCCATTGTGAGAGGAGAGATGATCCAGCAAAGAGAGAAAACAGTCTGGCAAGCGAGATGACTTAGGAGGCAACAGTGTAACAACGACTAAGGGAAGAAAAATAAACGAGAAGGGACGCGATGTTGCAAGGATGAAGACTGGGGAAAAGCCTTTAGATTTATCAGTTGAGATCTTTGGGACCTTGGAGAGAGCAGTTTTAGCTGATTTGGAAGCCGCGTTGCAAGGGGCGGAGAAATGTGTGGGAGGTGAGAAAGTGGAGACAATCAGCACAGGCTTTTTTTTTTTTTTTTTTTAGGTAATTGGGGTTGTGAGTTGCCCAGGGTCACACAGCTAGTAAGTGTCCACTGCGCCACCTACCTGCCCCCCGCCCCTTTTTCTTCAGCAGTTTGGCTGTAAAAAGACAATAGCTTCGGGGACGGCGGGATCCACTCAAGGTTTTTAAGGATGGGGGAGTCAGGATCAAGGCGAGGGACTGAAGAGGGGAGGTAATGAATTCATGGCAAGAGAAAATCGAAGACCGGTAGAGAATCTGCCTTAGAAGAGCGGTTGGGTTATTCCGTGGGTAAACTCATTTCCAAGAAGTGAAGTTAAAGACTAATTAGAGAACCTGGGCAGTTAACACTGGGACGGAACCAGGAAGCGGGCTCCTTCCCCACCCTTTCTCTAGCCTCGGTCCTCCTCCCTCTCCCTCTTCCCTCTTCCCTCTCCCTTCCGCCGTACTCAGGAGGCGCTATTTCCACTTCCGCTGCGGCCGGAAGTCACGTGTCTGTGTGTATCCGGTTCGCGTCCCCCATCCTCTCCCAACAGCCTTAGGGGCGGGGGGAAACTGTCACAACCGGAAGTCTCCCAGAGGCGGGGCCAGGCGGAGCAGAGTCTTGGAGCCTGCGCTTTGGGTCGCTTGTTCCGCTCGCCATGGCTGCGTTAGGCGGTGGCGTCAGAGAGCACGAGGAACCGGTATTGTTCCGCAGAGGTACCGGGCAGGTGAGAGAGCTCCGGGGGGCCTCGGCAAAAGCCGGGGCTGAGGAAGGCCGAGGGGCGGGGCTGTGGCCCAGGCACCGTCTTACCCCTTGGGGACCGTCGTGCTCCATCTTCTCCCCGCGTCTCGCCTCGAGGCCCCGCGGCGGAGCCGGGATTCCCCGGGCAGCGGCTGGGCCTCTCCCGGGCCACCCCTCGGAGAGCGCACGCACAGACGAACGCCCAGGCCGAGAGAGGCCGTGTTGGGGGACGCCGGGCATGGTCTCCCCCGCTGCGCGGTCAGAGGGATCTTCCTAAAGAGCAGTTCTGACGGTGTCGCCGCCGGGACCAACTATGAGGCCCCCGCCTGCCTCCCTACATCCCCCTCCCCACAAGTGACACTCAGTGACCTCCTGGACCCCTTCTCGGCTCCGGGCATCCTCACTGTCCTCTGATCCTCCTCACCTCCGCCTCCTCGCTTCCTTCTAGACTTAGCTGAAATCCCATCTTCTGCAAGAGGCCCTCCCCCGTCTCCACCTCCCCTTTACACGTCCATACCGGGTGCGCCCCTAGTTGTCGGCTTGTTCTTTCCGCCCTTTAGAATGTGCACTCCTTGAAGACTGGGACCCTGTGTTGGCCTTCCTTTGTATCCCCCAGCACTTAACTGCGATAAATTTCCTTACCTTACAGTATCTGTATTACTGTAAGGTAAGGAACCTTACCGCATCGGGCATGCTTGTAGATTGCAAAGGTGGGAGGGGAGCAGCCTTAGAGAGAGGTATTTGGCTTCTGCTCCTTGCTTGGTCTGGCGCGTTGGCTTGGACAAGTTTCTTAATCTCAATATCTTCATCTTTAAAATGAAAGGAGAGTTGGAGTTCTGTCCAGTTGGAAATCTTGTGATCTTAGATACCTGCTGATTACTGTGATCTTAGAGACAATGAATTGGTAATTATATGTGATTGTTTTGTGCTGGAGGTGAGTTCCAGAAAAAGTAACGATTTTACTAGTTACTTCTGTGGTAGCATTATAGCTGGGATTATAGCTGGAACCTTTGGGATTATCTAGTGGTCTTCCACTGACACTCCTTCCCTACCCTCATTCCCTTTTCTTTCCCCTTTCCTCTCCTTCTTATAGGGTAAGTTAGATTTCTGTATCTAACTGATTTGTTATTCTCTCTTTGAGCCAATGTGATGAGAATAAGATTCAAACAATGCTCATCTCCTTCCCTTCTTTCTCTCTACTGTAATAGGTTTTTGTGCCTTTTCATATGATGTAATTTGCCCATTTCTGCCTCCTCCTTTTCTCTTCTCCCAGAACAATTCCTTTTCACTACTTAGCTTTTTTTTAATCACATCAAAGTCAACTTATACCCATACCCTCTGTCTATGTATATCCCTTTTAAAGTCCTAATAATGATACACTTCTCAAGAGTTACAAAGTGTCATCTTCCCTTGTAGGGATGTAAACTGTTTGCCCTTATTAGTAACATGTTTGGATTTTTTTGTTTTTGTTTTTGTTTTCCTGGTTACCTTTTTATGTCTTTCTTGAGTCTTGTATTTGATGATCAGATTTTCTGTTGAGCTCTGGTCTTTTCATCAGGAAGATTTGGAAGTCCCCTATTTCGGTGAATGTCCATCTCCTTCCCTGAAAGATTATGCTCAATTTCGCTGGGTAGCTGATCCTTGGTTGTAATTAGACCTCCTTTGCCTTATGGAATATTGTATTCCACACCCTCTGATCTTTTAATGTAGAAGCTGCAATGTCTTGCAAAATCCTGACTGTGGTTCCATGATATTTAAATTGTTTCTTTCTGGCTGCTTTGCAGTATTTACTCTTTGACCCTTGGCGTTTTCCATTTGGGATCTCTTTCAGGAGGTGATCAGTGTATTCTTTCAATGACTATTTTGCCTTCTAAGACCTCGGGATAGTTTTCCTTGATGATTTCCTGAAAGATGCTGTCTGGGCTCTTTTTTTTCATCCTGGTTTTCAGGTAGACCAATAATTTTTAAATTGTCTCTCCTGGATTTATTTTCCAGGTCACTTGTTTTACTAGTGAGGTATTTTACATTTTCTTCTGTTTTTTCATTCTTTTATTTCTGTTTGACTGATTCTTGATATCTCATAGCTTCTCTCATCTCTTCATCTTCTCTTCATCTCATTTACTTCCACTTGCCCCATTCTAATTTTTAAGGAGTTGTTTTCCTCTATTAGATTTTGTACTTCCTTTGGCATTTGGCCCATTTGACTTTTTAAGGAGTTCTTCTCTTAAATGAGTTTTTGTGCCTCCTTTGCCATTTGGCCAATTCTACTTTTTATGAAATTGTTTTCATCAGCATACTTTTTTTTTTTTTCATTTGGCCAATTGTATTTTTTTTTTAAAGTGAGGCAGTTGGGGTTAAGTAATTTGCCCAGAGTCACACAGCTAGGCAGTGTTATGTGTCTGAGACCAGATTTGAATTCAGGTCCTCCTGACTCCAGGGCTGGTGCTCTATCCACTACACCATCTAGCTGTCCCCCAGGCAATTGTATTTTTTAAGGACTTATTTTCTACAGTCAATTTTTGTCCTTTTTTCAAGCTATTGACTCTCTTGCACACCTTTCATTTCCTTTCCCAGTTTTTCTTCTACCTCTCTTATTCGACTTTTAAAGTCCTTCTTGAACTTTTCCATGAAGGCTTTTTAGGCTTGAGACCAGTTAGTGTTCCCCTTTGAGGTTTTGCATGTGGGTATATTGGCAGTGTTGTCCTCTTCTGAATTTGTACCTTGGTCTTCCCTGTTCCCATAATAAGAATTTATGGTCATTGTCCGTTTCTGCTTTCTGCTCATGATGTTTGCCGATTTCCTGGCTTTTAAAGTTGAGCTCTCCTGCTGAAAAGCAGGGGGCGCTGACCCAAGCTTCTTATGCTGGGATCCTGGGACCTGGTCACTGGCTTCATATGTGGGCGCCTCAGGTCCTGGCAGCTAGAGGGTGTAGGTGTCTGGCAGCTTACCTGGTGCTGAGCTGGGGTCAGCAGCACTGGAGCTCTGGGGGTAGGGGTAGGGAGTCTGGTCCTTGGGGGATGCCTGCTCATCCAGGCTTCTTTAAAGCACTCAAATGTTTGGCTGCTGGAGAACTGGTGTGCTTGATAGTTTTCTGAGCTGGTGTTTACCAGGTTCCCCTGCCTATGCTGAAGCATTGAGGTGTCCTGGTGTTGGGGTTTGCCTGTTCATCCACCCAGGGGCTCAGGATCTCCCCCTGGTTTGCTGAGGTGGGGCTTGCCACTGGCTTGCTGGGACGTTTCCCTTCCTGTACTGCTCTCCTTCCACCAGAGTGAGAGGGGCCTTTCTGATTAATCCCGTTGAGCTTCCTGGGCCACAAGATTGCTGCACTCTGTCTTTCTGCTGGCTCAGCTGTTCTGGGGTTTTTTCTGGGGTGATATTTTCTGGGCTTTCAAAGGTCAATAAGGGAGGGTGAGAGTGACTTACTTCTTACTTCATTATCTTGGCTCCCAGAAGTTCTAATTCTTACCTTCTTTACATCTCTACAACATTTGATACTGTAGATCACCTTATTATGCTCTCCTTCCTTGATAACCTTGCAATCTTGGTTCTGCCACCACTTTAAAGCTTTCTTCCCTTTTTATCTCCTTCACGGGTTCTTTACCTTCTTCACACTTTTTCATTTAAATTCAGCAAACATTTATCAAACACCTCCTAAATTCCTGGCTTCTGGGTTGGTCCCTGAGAATACAAAGACAAAAACCAAACAGCTTCTGCCCTTGAGGAGTTTACAATCTCCTGGGAGGAAATAACATGTACACAAATAAGTACATACTAAATAAATACAAAATAATTTAACTAAACAGAACACATACGCCACGTGTGATCTGATGAAGACAGTTGGACTGTCATCTACATATACATGAAGCAATGCTTCTCTCAGTGCTGCCTAAGATCCCATTAGCCTTTTGGCTGCCAAATCACACAGTTGACTAAAATTAAGCTTTCAAGTTTAACACCAGCATCTTTGGATCTTTTTTATACGTACAGCTTTCTAGCCATACCTGCCTTGTCTTATATCTGTGAGGTGGTGTTTTGTTTTGTTTTATTTTTAACCCACATACAAGGCTATACATTTGTCCTTGTTACATTTCCTCTCAATTTGGCCTTTCAAAATATTTCTGAATCCACATTCTGTTATCTAGTATGTTAGCTATCCGTCCCAGCTATGAATCATCTGAAAAGTATTCTGTGCCATCTGTCATTTTATCTAAATCATTGAAAAAATGTTACTGCAGACCCATCACAATTTTGGGGGGCATTCTTCTGGATACCTTCCAAGTTGATATTAAATCATTAACAACTACACTGAGCCATTAAACAAGCTGCAAATCTATCTAATTGCATTAATACTCGCAATATTATTATGAAGGGCTTTATAGAATGCTTTACTCTGCCTCCTGGCTTCCTTGGATTCCTTCAAGTTCCATCTGAAATCCCATGTTCTACAAGAAGTATTCCCAAACTTTAATTCTGGTACCTTCCCTCTATTAATTATTTCCTATTTATCTTGTATTTAGCTTTTTTTGTAAATAATTATTTATGTGTTGTTTCCCTTAATAGATTGTGTACTCCTCAAGGCCAGGAGCTGTCTTTAGCTTTTCTTTGTATCCCCTAAACAGTGCCTGGCACAGAGTAGGCATTTAATAAATAACATTTATAATTGTTTATTGACTAATTTTGCAAAAATCAGGATTTCACATGAGGAGTATTGGACAGTTAGGTGGCTCAGTGGTTAGAATGCTGACCTTGGAATCAGAAAGACCATATTCAGATTTTTTTCTGCCTCAGAAACTTACTAGGAATATGACCCTAGGCAAAGTCATTTAACTTCTCCACCTCAGTAAAATGGGACTGATAATGATAGCACCTAACTCACAGGGTCATTGTGAGGATTAAATGAGATAATATGTGTAAAGGACTTAGCAAACTTTGAAGCACTATAAATGTGATTAATGTGCATTGTTTACCCCCTCTCCCTCTTTTTTTTTTTACCTAGCTTATTTCTCTTGAATAAGGTATACCCTTTTAGAACCATAATCCAGGCATGGATCTCATCTCACTTCTCTGTTGCTGTTACTAAGCACATCATTTTATCCATGCTGAACTCTTGGGATCATTCAACTCAATAACAAACATTTATTTATTTATTTTTATTAATTTATTTTGATTTATCAGTAATCACTTCCATATGCTTTTGAGTTTAAAATTTTTCTCCCCCTTCCTCCCCACCACCCTTCCCAAGATGGCGCACAATCTGATATAGGCTATACATTTACATTCATATTAAACATATTTTCACATTAGTGATGTTGTAAGTGAAAATTAAAACCAATAGGAGGAATCATCAGAAAGAGGAAACAAAACTCAACAGAAGAGAAAAAGAAATTGCAATTCAACTTCCATAGTTCTTTCTTTGGATGTGGATAGCATTTTCCATCACAAGGCCTCTGAAGATGTCTCAGATCCTTGTATTGCCAGGAAGGGTTAAGTTTATCAATATTAGTCATCACACAACGTTCTCTTGGTTCTGCTCACTTCACTCAGCATCAGACCATACAACTTTTTCCAGGTTTTTCTGAAGTCAGCCTGTTCTTCATTTCTTATAGCACAATAGTATTCCATCACATTCATATACTACAACTTGCTCAGCCATTCCCCAGTTGATGGGCATCCTCTCAATTTCCAATTCTTTGCCACCACAAAAAGAGCTGCTATGAATATTTTTGTACATGTTGTCCTTTTCCTGTTTGTGTGATCTCTTTGGGATATAGCCCTAGAAGTGCTGTTGCTGGGTGAAAGGGTATGCACATTTTTATAGGCCTTTGGGCATAGTTCCAAATTGCTCTCCAAAATGGTTAGATCATTTCACAACTCCACCAACAATGCATTAGTGTTCCAATTTTCCCACATCTTCTCCAACATTTCTCACTTTCCTGTTTTGTCATGTTGGCCAATCTGATAGGTGTGATGTGGTACCTCAGAGTTGTTTTGATTTACATTTCTCTAATCAGTAGTGATTTAGAGCATTTTTTCATATGACTATAGATAGCTTTAATTTCTTCATTTGAGAATTGTCTGTTCATATCTTTTGACCATTTATCAATTGGGGAATGACTTGTATTCTTATAAATTTGATTTAATTCTCTATATATTTTAGAAATGAGGCCCTTATCGGAGAGACTGGTTATAAAAATTCTTTACCAATTTTCTACCTTCCTTTTAATCTTAGTTGCATTGGCTTTGTGCAAAAACTTTTCAATTTAATGTAATCAAAATTATCTATTTTGCTTTTCGTAATGTTGTTTATCTCCTGTTTGGTCATGAATTTTTATGTTCTCCATAGATCTGACAGGTAAACTGTTCCTTGCTCTCCCAGTTTACTTATAGTATCAGCCTTTATATCTAAATCATGAACCCATTTTTACTTTATTTTGGTATATGATGTGAGATTTTGGTCTATGCCTAGTTTCTGCCATACTGTTCTCCAGTTTTCCAAAGAGTGGGTTCTTATCCCAGAAGCTGGGGTCTTTGGGTTTATTGAATAATAGATTACTATAGTCATTGACTACTGTGTCTTGCATATTTAACCTATTCCACTGATCCGCCCCTCTATTTCTTAGCCAGTACCAAGCAGTTTTGATGATTGGAGCTAACAAACATTTATTAAAGCAAGACATGGGCATTATGATGTATTAGGTGCTGGGGAAGAGAGGAGGAATACAAAACTTAGGTCAGGTCTCAGCCTTCATGAAGCTACTTTTGTATTCTTTCCTTTCAGTCACTCCCATGGAGTCCTGTTGATTGCTTCTGATTGAGATCTCTCAGATTTTTCTTCCCCTTTCTACTCTATCTGTAACTGCCCTAGTTCTAGTCCTCATCATCCTTTGGCTGGTCTTTATAGATCTAACATCATCACTTGTGCATTGCCAGTGAATGTAGACAGTTAAAAAGTTTGGCAGGGAAAGCAATACAGAATGATAGCATTAAATAGCATGATCAAGGGAAAGTTTTTAAGGATAAGGGAGCTCTAAGTATGTATGTAACAGTTAATCAGCAAAGCGTTTATTAGGAGCTGGGTGTGTGCCAGGGAATACAAAAAAAAAAGCAAAAAAAAAATACAAAAACAGTCTCTGCCTTTAAGGAGTTTACAAAAAGGAAGGAATCAGTAGATTGGGGAAGATTGAAGATGAGAAATGGGAAGTAATTGATAGGGCCAGCTCCTGAAAGAAAAAGAAGAGAGGATGGGATCAAGATTAACTTTAGCAAGTAGGACTGCCTCATTCATCTTTGTGAATAGGTAGAAAGGAAAAGGTGTAGAGAGATTTGAGGTTGTGGAGGAGTAGTAATAAAATTGAGGGCCCTAACCTTAATCTGTCTTGTGAGGATGCTCACAAGAGATCACCTCAAACTTGGTAGGAGGCAGGTTCATTTGCTTGGGAAATAGGGTGGAGATTTAAGGAGAAAGTTTGAAACTGGCTAGTTGCTGTTTGGTGTTAAGGGCCTGTGAAAATTTTTAATACTTTTTGTTTTCACATCACCTACATTTCCCACGGTATTCTTTCCTCCTCTCCCAGAGAGCCTTCTCTTATAATGAAGAATTTTAAAAGAGAAAGAAAAACAACGTTCAGCATAACTAACATGAGAAAAAAATCTGCTTTTACATGTGTTGTTCCACATGCGTGAGTACTCTGCTTTTATAAAGAAGTGGTGGTGCCTAATCACATGTTTTCTTTGGGCCTTTGACTTTTTAATGGACCTAATGTACTTAGTTTTTTGTTTTGTTTTAACTTCTAGTAGCTTGGTAGTAGGACTAGAGAAGGCAGATGATGGAGTAGCCCAGGGTTAGAGATTAGCATAAAACCAGCAGGAGATCAAGAAGGGTGATGGATTCAAGGATGGACAATGCTCTTATCGAACTGGTTAACTCTGAGGTTAAAACTGAAGGAAGAAAAAGGAGGTCAGAATGGGACTGATTAGACTGAGAGACTAAGACTAGGGAAGGATAAAAGAACTACATATTTTGGTGGAGACAGAGTTTTAGGAAGTGGGAAAGATGGAAGGACAAGAATTTGTGATGGCTCCAAACTAAGCCATTTCTAAATCATGCCAGCATATTCATATACATTGCCTCTCCTTCCCAGCCACTACCACCCCCTTTCCTACTCTGGCTCCCCTTTATATGTTTCTTTCCCTATTACTATGTAATTTCCTTGAGGGCAGGGACTGTGTTGCTGGCTTGTATTTATATCCCCAGCACTTAGCTTGGTGACTAGCATGTAATAAATGCTTAATAAATGCTATTTCCTTCATTATTTGGGAGCCTATTAACTGACGAAAAACTAGGATTGAACCTACAGCTGTAACATCTCATAAAAGACCTCAAGATATTTGTCATGGGGCAGGCTATGCCATCAGTTTTAAACCAAACTTGAATTTCATTCAGTAATTTCTGGATTATGTTGACTTTTGATATTCTTTATTTTCTTTTTCACTTGTGGTTTTGAAGGTAATAATATAATTCATGCTTTAGTAATTTGTAATGTCTTTTTCCCTCAGAGTGATGATTCCGATATATGGGATGATACCGCCTTGATAAAAGCATATGACAAAGCTGTGGCATCATTTAAGGTATTAAATGTTTGTATCTTTTTTTTTCTTATTTATAATTGAATGTGTGTTTGTGAATTTAAATGGAAATCTTTTTTAAAGTTTATTGTACATGCTCCATCCCCACCACTCCCCAACTCTTCCTTCTAACACAAGAAAAAGAGTGTATACAACATTAAGCAAGCTGTAGTCACCTACCTCTCTATCTAGAAGTGAGTTGCATCATCTCTTCTCCAAAACAAAGATGGGTCATTGCAATTCATTTGGGTTCAGCTTCCTTTTTGTGTTTTCTTAGACGTTATTATAGTCAGTAGTCCTGCTTTTTTCATTCTATTATTTCATACGTCTTCTCATTTTTCTCAGTCTTCCTCAGATTTGTTTCTTATATCACAGTGTTATTCTACTGCATTCATAAATCCTGCTTTGTTTAGCCATTCCCCAGTTGATTAGTTTATTTCCATTTTTTTCCTACCACATCTATGAATATTTGAGGGTATATAGGACCTCTCTGTCTTTGTTCTCCTTGAGTATATGCCCACTAGGGTCTCTGGTTCAAAACGTATAAACAATTTGATGACTTTTCCTGAATAATTCCAAATTATTTTCCATAATATTTGATCCAATTTACAACTCTATCAGCAATATATTAACATGCTTGTCTAGAGCCTCTCCCATGGAATATTTCCTTCTTTTATCTTCTTTGCCAATCTGGTGGGTGTGAAGTGAAACCTCATAGTTTTAAATTGCATTTCTCCTGTTAGTGATTTAACTCAGGACCCAATCAGTCTATGCCTTGTTGCCATGGGACCTAGCAAGTGAATCACACAGCATCCAGAATTTTCAGGGTAATCTATGTTAGTATACTTTGTCTTCCTCCTTATGGACTTTGACATCTTACCTTTATAACTTGATGTCTTTAGCAATGCTACAAAATTTCAGCATTTTCAGCCTCCTCAGGGTCAATGAACCAGTTCAGGCTTCAGCTCTACTCTTTTTATGAAGAAAAAGTCTCTTGGTCAGGGTAGCTTTCACATACCCTTGTGTGATGATGATGATGATGATGATGATGATAATGATGATAGCTAACATTTATAATAGTGCCTAATATGTGCCAGACCCTGTGCTTAGTGCTTTACAAATGTTATGTCATTTAATCATCACAAAAATCCTGGAAGGTAGGTACTATTATTATCCCCACATTTTGTTGTTTCATTTTGGGTTTGTTTTTGTTTTTTACAGATGAGGAAACTGAGGCAGACAGAGGTTAAGGGACTTGCCTAGGTTCATACAGCTAGTAAGTGTCTGAGGCTGGATTTCAACTCAGGTCCACATTTCTCTAGACCTGGAGCTCTTCCATTGCACCACCTAGCGGCCCCCTCCTCAGCTTTTGTTTATTTCTTTTTTTTACACTTAATAGTGTTTTATTTTTTTCCAATTACGTGTAAAAATAGTTTTCAACATCCTTTTTTGTAAGATTTTTAGTTCCAAATTTTTTTTTCCTTTCCCCTATCCAAGACAACAAGCAATCTGATATAGGCTATACTATACAATCGTGTTAAACATTTCCACATTAGTCATATTGTGAAAGATGAATCAGAACAAAAGGGAAAAATCATGAGCAAGGCAAAAAAAAAGTGAAAATAGAATGCTTTGATCTGCATTCAGACTCCATAGTTCTTTCTCTGGATGTGGATAGCTTTTTTCATCATGAGTTTTTTGGAATTATCTTGAATCATGGGTTGCTGAGAAGAGATAAGTCTATCAAAGTTAGTCATCACACAGCGCTGTTGTTACTGTGTACAATATTCTCCAGGTTCTGCTGGCTTCACTCATTATCAGTTCATGTAAGTCTTTCTAGGTTTTTCTGAAATCATCCTGCCTGTCGTTTCTTATAGCACAATAGTATTTCATTACATTCATATACCACAACTTGTTCGGCAGTTCGCCAGTTGATGGGCATTCCCACGATTTCTGATTCTTTGCCACCACCCAAAGATCAGCTTTTACTTAAGACTCACCATTGTTCTTTTCCCTTTGGAAGCTGAAAAATTAATGTGGCTTCGAAATTTTGGGGCCACCAGCTCAGTTCAAAGCACATTTGTTGAACCCTACATTACCGTATCAGTAAATGTAATTAAATAGAATCAGTTGCTTGAAACTGTAAAACTTGTATACATGCACTTCCTCCTTAAAGTCTTTATTTTGCTTCAAGTTTCAGCTCAGCTGCCACCTCCTTGAAGCCTTTCCAGATCCCCCTTGTTTTTAGTGCTCTTCTCTCTCCTCAGATTCTCTTTTCCTCTACATATCTGTTCTATAACTCAGCCCAGCTCAACATGTACACAGTGTGTGCGGGCATACATGTTGTGTGCGGGCATACATGTTGTATGCCCCAATAGAAAATTAGCTCCCTTAGGGCAGAAACTTATTTCACCTTCTTGCACCCAGCCTCAAGCCTCTTGCCTTGCCACTTTATTCATGTTTGTTGGATGGAATTGTAGACTTTAATAATACTGCATGTTGTGTTTTGTCACACTGTGCCACAAGACCAATAGCTTTGTTTAGCAAGTAGGGGAGGCACGTTTGAATTAATGAAACTTGAATTAGTCATTTTTTATTATCATGTGACAGGCTGGAAATGAGGAGAAATTTTATGTGTTAAAATGCCAAGATATTTACCAATTCTACTGATATGTATTAGCCCACTCAGTGTTCTTATGGTGCAGTAATATTCCATTACAATTCATGTGCCACAATTTTTCAGCCATTAATGGGCGTACATTTTATTTCTAATTCTTTGTAAGCACAAAAAAATGATGCTGTTTATTTTTCCATATGGAGTCTGTCTTCACATTGAAATATTAACAGTTTTTAAATAGTTTAAAATATTAAAATATTTGTAAATGTTCTAAAAACTCTTTCCTGACATTCTCTGTCCCCTATCTGCCACCTTAACAACAGCTGAAGTGAGGGGAGAAGTGGGGTGTAAAGTCTATTCTTTATTTCACTGGTCACCCCAGGAAAAGAGTTCATGACATGCTGATCAGCCTACTAATAATTAGCTGCTTTGTACTTAGCTAAACTGGTCTTCAGATGGCAAAACCAGGCTGTCCCACAGAAAGGACTTGAGGCTGTAACTCCTTGCTAGTGCCTGCCAGAGCTTGCTCTTCATTTTCATGATCTTTGAGGATACACAGTTGCCTTTCACACCACAGTGAGGCATCAGAGCATGACTTCAGTGAAAAATTAGTATGATTAGTACATCTGGTACTAATGATATGTGGAGAGTTACTCCCAGTAGGGAGCTAAAGAGAAAGGAGAGAAAGAATTCATAAAGAAGGTAGCTCTAGAGGTGAGTCTCAAAATAAGGGAAGAATTTCAGCATGCAGAGTTGAAGTTGAGAGATAGAGCAGAGATAATGGTATGAGCTAAGTTATGGAGGGAGGGAGTTCATTTTGTGTGGAGGGGTGTGTGTGTATGCATGTATGTATGTACACATGCATGTGTATATACACGTGTGCATTACGGAGTGGTGAGAGAGAAGACTAGAAAAATAAGCTAGGTCATGAAGAATTTGGACTTCTGGTAGACAGTGGGAAATCACAATTTTTAAATAAAGAAATGGTAAGGTCTAGGGAAGGAAAAATCAGAAAGATGTCGGGAGAACCAAGGTAGAGTAAAGTCATCAATAAGACAGGAAAACAGGCTGGTGAGCAACGTGAAATGGTTGTAGCATTTAACCAGATTTGTCAAACAGAAGTGGATATAAGTAAAGGCCATTAGATATGGTAAACAGGGTGATCAATTTAAAGCTGGAAAAGACCTTAAAAGGGTCCCTCTTTTTGTACTCTTTCAATTTTATACCTCATGGTAATGGAGGCATAGATAGAGAAAAATGAATTGTCCGTGATCATACAAGGACTAATAAAAGGTTGTCTCACTGCTATTGAAGTGATATTCTTTACATTGTATCACACTGCTTTGCCTTCAAAAGTTAACAAAGTTACCGATTAATTTTGTGGCGTGTTTGAAGGAAATAGAGTGATAGGGTAAAGAGCCTGGTTATAATGGGTTTGTGAGTAAGTGGGATGATGAAGAAGTGGAAGCTTCCTGCTTTGGGCTGTAACCTATTGTAAGAACTGAGTATTAATCTTTGTTTATGATAAATAATATGTATGTTTACTTTGATAGAATGCTTTAAAGAATGGCGAAATTTCTGAAACTTCAGACAAACAAAAGAGTGCTGGACCAAAAAGAAAAAATATTAAGAACAGAAACAAGAAAAAAAGCAACCCAGCCCCATTGAAACAGGTATTTAAAAACATAAAGTTTAACTTGGCTTTTTTAATGTTACAATTTTAAGTAAAATGAATTTGTCAAAGTAGCACTTTAAATTGAGATCATGGAACGCCATTAACTTGTGCTTAAGTTTTGTCTCCCTGCTTTTTAGTATGTGTACATAAAACTGTGTTGCATGAGATTTATTTTTCAAACAGCCTCAGGAAATGAACTTTTGAATTATACTCATTCCTAATTAAAATTATAGAGGGTTAATTGTTTTAATGATTTCCTGATCATATTAGACAAATATAGAATAGATGGATATGGATATATAATATGTAAACATAAAAGTTTTAAAAATGTGTTTGTTTGTTGCAGTGGAAAGTTGGTGATGCTTGTTGTGCAGTTTGGTCTGAAGATGGTAACATATATCCAGCTACTATTGCATCAGCTGATCTGAAGAGAGGGACATGTGTTGTAGTTTATACTGGCTATGGAAATAAAGAAGAACAGAATTTGTCAGATCTTCTTCTTCCAAACAGCGAAGGAGTTCGTGATGAAGAACCTATACATGAAGTAAGAATATAAATATATTTGTATATAATCTCCTTAGAGATGGAGTATTGAATCGAGAATAAAACTTGGTTCTATGTCTTTTGAAATCATCTTTTGGTAAATTCAGTTGATTGAGCTATACCAAAAATTTTGTGAATAATTAGAGCAATATAAGTTAACGTTTTTTAAATGTCAAAGATGTAGCATTTTGGTATTAATATAGATTGCATTCCTAAAATGAAGTCTATTTAGGAGTAGGGGAAAGATAAAACTATATATTGAAAAATAAAACCAGTTATTATCTGTATTCCTCTATACAAGCCATTCTCTATTTAGGTCAATACAGTATTTAAATCTATATTGCATATTTTTAAAGTTATAATTATCTTAAAATATGCTTTACGTAGCAGTACAATTGAATAAGTTGCCAGTTTGAGACAAGTTGTTCGTATTAAGGTCTTGTGGCCATTATGTAACTAACAATTTATCCATACCTAGTAAAAATAACATTTTTTTTTGTTCTTTCCAAGAATGAAAATGAAAGTCAAAGTCAGTATTCAACAGATGAAAGTGAAAAATCATCCAGATCACCTGGAAGCAAACAGAATCGTATCAAATCCAAAGCTGCTCATTGGAATTCTTATTTCCCTCCTCCACCACCACTTCCTCTCCCAGTGCCAGGGTTAGGCAAGGTAAGCTGCTGACTGGGAGTTACTTGACTGTGTGTGAAACAACAAAACCTTAGACTTAGAAGATTTGTCTAGAATTTTCCTTTGAAATACGGTTGTGTATTTGAATATCAGTTGAGCCTCTTCCACCTGCTAGGTGGGCCTGCTGTAAAGTTAATAAGCTCAAAGAACAAAAAAGAAATTGAAGAAGGTTGTATCCCAGGAGAACGAAGAAAGATGAGTTAATGAAGAGGTGGCCACTTAAGAATTATCAGGCCTAACTTCATTTATCCTTCTCTAAAGGCTGTGGACAAATAGCAGACCACACCCCACCCCACCCCCCTCCAGAGGGTTATTGTGAAGATCAAATATGTAAAGTGTTTTATGAAGTGTAAAAGTACTGTATGAAAGTTTGCAGCTATTATTTTAAAGCAACAGACCCTCTCTATATAGTGTACATTAACAGTCATTTGACAGAGGTCAACGTGATCTAGTGTTTTGTTGTTTAGATGAGAAGGAACTTAATATTTGTCATTTTAGCTAATGCTGTTTAGTCAAAAAGAAACAGCTAGATGGCTCACTGGATAAAGTACTGGGATTGGAGTCAGGAAGACGTGAGTTCAAATGTGGCCTCAGACACTTAACAACTTTATGACATTGGGCAAGTCACTTAGCCTCTCTTTGCCTCAATCCACTAGAATAGGAAATGGCAGGGGTCAGCTTAGTGGCACAGTGGATAGAGCACTGCCCAGGAATAAGGAGGACCTGAGTTCAAATATGGCCTCAGACACTTGACACTTACTAGCCATGTGACCCTGGGCAAGTCACTTAACCCCATTGCCTAGCCCCCCCCCCCAAAAAAAAAATAAGAAAAAGGAAAGGAAATAGCAAACCACTGTTATCTTTGTGAAGGTAACACCATGGACAGCATAGTCCATGGGGTCATGAAGAGTCAGACACGATTGAACAACAGTGTAGCCAGAGGCTTTTATGAAAGAAAAAAAAAGATTTTACAGTTATGCAAGTACTCAATCTGAGGAATTTAGAGGAAAGAAAATTAACTATTCTTAATTTATCTGCCTTTAAATCATTATAAAGATTTTCTTTTACCCTTGTTATCTAGATCTAGCCAATATTGCTTTAGCAGTGACTTTAAATAGTAAGTGCTTAATAAATGTTTGTTGATAGATGGGCAGATTTCCTTACTGGGAGTTCCTTATATCACTGAAATTTCAAGACCATAATAAACAAATCAAAAAAACCTTTTTGTTATGACTATTTTCATTTCATATGAAATGAACTAGTAATAGTTCATATAAAATGAACTAGTAATATTGTTAGCCTTCCTTGGCTTGGGAGTACTTTTTTTTTATTAGGCAAATCTAGGCTTGTGTTCATTTGAAATTCATCCTTTATTTTAAGGATGTACACAGTCATTTCCTCTTGATGATAATTTGACCATTAAATTAAGACTTTCAGTGGAGACATGATGGTATTAGGCACACATTGGGTCTATAATTATTTTGTTTATCCAAAAATTCCAAAAGTCATCTCAGAATAAAGGCTGAGAGTGATCAATTGATCATTTCTATTCAATAATCACACCTAATTTATTAGTGAGGTGAGATCATATGAAAATTGTAATCAAGTAGTTAAATTAAAAGTTAGAAAATTATAATCAAATGGTTAAATAAAAGGTTAGCATATTTAAATATTTGGTAGATAGACCATTTGTAAAAAGCAAAGGGGTTTATGGCTGCCTTTTTTCTGCCCTTTTATCTGCTTTTTACTTTGCTTCATTTTTGAATGAAAACAAAAACTATTTCAAAAGCTAAAAATGAAAGCAGAAAAAAGTTACCTGCCTCTTCTGAAGTGTCTGCATGTACAGGAAGCTGGATAAATGGGTGGCCTTGAGCCCAGGTTACTAATACCTACCTAGACCCACTGAGGGGAATAAATGTCATTTCAGAGTTAGGTCGCTGTGTGGCGCTGGGTCTGGAGTCAGGAAGACCTGAGTTCATATCCAGTCTTACGAGTTCTGTGTCCCTGGCCAAGTCACTCTATCTGCTTTGATTTCCTCATCTGTAAAATGGGGATAATAATAACATCTACCTTCCAGAGTTGTTTTTAAGATAAAATGAGATAATATTTGTGAAGTGCTTTGCAAACCTCAAAGAACTGAATACCATGTATTAATATTGTTGTTAGATGTCTAAATTTCAGATGGTATTCATATTATTTTCAGCTCTTTTTGTTTTTGGACAGATGAATCCGTTTTTCATTTTGTAATTGCCAATCACTTTTCTTTTTTCAAATATTGCATTATAGCCTGGACTGAAATTCAGTGGCCCACCACCCTTCCTCACAGGCTGGCCCCCACCATTTCCTTCAGGACCACCAGTAAGTACTGATTTCAAATTAATCTGAGCTCCATTCAGGAGTCCTTTCCTAGAAATTGGGGTTTCATGGGTTATATTATTCAGTGAGTGTAATGAAAAGAGCTGTTTGAATTGTTCTGGGGTCAACTTGGCTTTGAAACCATGTTCCTGCTTTGCGTGCCCACCTACCTTAGATCCTTCATGCTTTCCCAGTAATCTCAAATAGGTTTGCATGTTAATGTCCTTTAATTTGTGAATGGTGGAGTGTCAGAGATAGGCCAGAAGAAATTTTGGAGACAGGGAATAACATATTTCTCATATTATGGGGGGGGGGGTGTAGCCCTGTAATGTATCTGTCTGTGCTCATCAGATAATTTTTTTAAATAGAGAAAATTGTAACTGTTCTGGATAGTTAAACATCTATCCCTTTTTTGCTTATTGTCTCTAAGAATAATAATAATAAATATTTTACCATTTGCAGTTGATTCCCCCACCACCTCCCATGTCTCCCGATTCTCCTGAAGATGCTGATGCTTTGGGAAGTATGTTAATAGCCTGGTACATGAGCGGCTATCATACTGGTTACTATCTGGTAGGTGATAAATCTACTCCTTTACTTGAATACTTCTTCTGTAGTCATATGACTTCTCTCTTTTCTGTAGCTGCAAAGAAAATTTAGTTATTCCCTGTTATGGTATCCTTTTAAAAAGTTCCTCTTCTTAGTTATGTTTTCAAATTTAAATACTTTCAGGTTATTTTATCTCATAGTTTTGTTTATTAAAAATAAAATCAATGTTATAGATACCTGTATGTTATGGCTCATTTTAAAAATACAAATAGTTTTAAATGTAAGATTAGTTGATTTTCTTAATATTTAAAGTTAAGTTTATAGTATGGTTTTTTTTGTTTTTCTGTTTTGTTTTGTTTTGTTTTTAAGTCAAGTATAGCATATAAAGTCATCAGAGAGCAGAGATGGGCTCCTGTGGAGCTATTAGAATGTTGTGTGTTGTAATAAAGGAGCATTCAAGTATTGATGACATAGAATAAAAAAGGTTACTACTATGATAAGGTAAATGAAGAGAGTGCTAAAATGAAACTGACTGCTGAGTAATTGTAATAACCAATTTCAACACCAGAGAAAAATGAGGAAGGGACTTCTCCTTTCTGGGAGATGTGGAAGACTGTGAATGTTTTTCCTTCTTATCAGAGAGGCCCTATAGTGGGGTGGGAGAGAGAAACAACTGTGATGGAAAAGCAAAAAACATTAACAAATGAGTATGTACCATGCCATGTGGTACTTTCATACATTTGTCACAGGGTTCCATCCTTCTGACATCTTGCGGGTACTAGTGGGATATTGACTGTCCTCTTGCCATTGTCACATGACCAGCTTCTCTTATCTTTCCATCTTATAATTCTTTGATGACATCTTTTACCCATATTCTTTTTCAGAGTCCCTCTTTGGTTATATGTTTTAGCCTGCTTAGACCTATGATGTGACTTGCCATTGCCCCTTGAAGAACCACTTTTAATTCTTTGTGGATTGTTATGTTCCTTATCTTGTTGCCAGATAGTACAGGGATTGGCAAACTATATATGTCTGGAGGCCCACATCTGGTCTGCCAGCCTGTTTTTGTACAGCCCACAAGCTAAGAATGGTTCCATTTTTTAGCTCAGAAACTATAAAAATAAGTAGGCAGCCTGATGTGGCCCTCAGGGTGTAGGTTGGTGACCCCCTGATTGATACAGCATTGTTGTTTGTGTTTTAGCCTTTACAACCCATGAAACAAACATTTAAAATGGCCCTCAGTATTCCATGGCCTCCTTGTGCTTTTTCAGTGACTGAGGAGGAAGAGCAGCAGAAAAATGGGTAGAGGGTGCTAAGAATCACACAGTTTTTAGGCTGTAAATAAACTTTAATTTGACTCTTAGTACTCTAAATAGCAGATTTTTGTCTAAGGATCAAGGAATGGACTTACTGTAAGGAACTAAATCATGTCAGTATTCCAGTTCTGCCTACATTTTATACATCTTTCCATGTTTCTCTGAACTACTCTTTCATCATTTTGTAGATTTCATTCATTTGACATTACATTTTTGTGTGACAGTTTGTTTAGATATTTCCCAATTAACCTACACCAACTTTTATTTCAATTTTTTTTACTACCACAGAAAATACTACTATGAATATTTTGATATATATGCCACCTTTCTTCCTCTCTTTCACTTCCTTAGGCTTTATGTCTATCGATGGGATCATTGGGTCAGAGGGTTTTATTATTTTAATTTTTTGCTTGCATAATTCCAAATTAACATGCAGAGTAGTTGGACTACTTCTTAGCTCCAGTAACAGTATATTAGTGTGCTTGTCCTCCTGCAGTCCCTTCAGCATTTCTTTTGTTAGCTTTGCTATTTTTCTGGGTGGCTCACAGAGTTTTTAAAAGCAAAATTGAGATAATGTGTTATAAAAGTATTTTGAAAATTAGAAAGGTATGAACATTGTTTTGGGGATTGAGAGTGTGGTCAGTGATCTGTCCTTGCAAATCGGCAACAATCCTGCAACTTTGAGAGTCTTAGAGAGTTAGCTCGGGTAGAGAAGTTGGCAGTGACTTTGTCGGGGGTCAAACCACAAAGAGTTGTCAGGGGTGCAACTTGTACCCAGGTCTTCCCACTTTGAGGCCAGCTTTCCCTCACCTTTTCTACACTGTCTCTCATTACAACGTGCATGATTCAGGGGTCAAATCAAATACAGTTACTGAGCTTTACTGACAGTGAGTTATTTTGGTTTGGATCAAGGCACTCATTGAATCTTCTTGATTCTGTTTCATAATTAAAGAGTCAAAACCCAGCAGTTTCTTATGTACTTCTGGTTCTTTTCTTAGCTGCTACACTACTAAATCAGGATACAGCAGAACCTCTGCTTTGCTGCCTGGCCCATCAGTAGGGTTGTCCAAAACAATAGCCATTGACCATGTATTTGTAACCTTTTACTAGTGGGTGCTTCAGAGAAACCAAAAGGAAATAGGTCTGGGATGTGCGTTAGCACGTTCTGGTGCTGGATTGTCAGATAAATGGACTTTTCTCTCATCCTTTTCTCTATATCTTCCCCGTGGCATTAGGATAAATTAATTAATTTGACATTTATTAGTTGCCTCCTGTGTTCAAAGTCATCTAGGTGTAGGGCACTGAGAACACAAGAATAAATAAGGCACAAATCTTTCAGTGGCTGATAGTATAGTTGGGAAGTGACCCAGCTGAATCTGAATGCATTGGAGAGGTACAGATAAACATTTTGAATTGATTATCAATTTAACAGTTTTGTGAAGCCAATGTTTATTCCCTTTTTAATATTTTTGTCCCCTTTCTGCAGGGCTTAAAACAACATCAAAAGGAAGGAAGGCACCAGCACTTCAATTAAGGAGTAAGTCTGCCACTGCTGCAGTAGCTGTCATCTCACTTTCCTTAACTATACCTATTTTTGTTAAATTATACTGAAACAAATTTTGAAAAATCAACAATTTTCCTATGCCTTATCAAAATGGGAAATTTTGAACATTTTAAACATTTTTAAAAACATTTAAAATGCTCTTTTTCTTAGAGGAAAAGATAATGGAACTAATGCTAAGTGACAACCGCAACCATTAAGGATGGAACAAGGCCTCTCTCGATGTCTTGTTTACTGGACGTGAATTCATTTGGATGCATATCCAACTAAAGCAGAAATGCACAAAGAAAATAAATAAGAATATATTGATAAAATAAAAAGTCACAGTGGGGGAGGGAAAGTACATTCTGTGGATTGTGTGATGCTTTAAATACTTGTGGTTTTCTTGCATCAGAGAAACACACAGATCAATTTTAAGTCATCAAGGCTGAGGAGAGTACAGAGTGGGCTTATCAAAGTTCATGTTTCTTTCTCCAGAAGTTGTTTCTGAGATACAAATTCCCATCCTTTTTTTTTTTTTTCCAAAGGCAATTGAAGTTAAGTGACTTGCCCAGGGTCACACAGCTAGTAAGTGTCAGGTGTTTGGTCTGAGGCTGTATTTGAACTCAGGTCCTCCTGACTTAAGGGCCAGTGCTGTATTCACTGCGCCACCTAGCTGCCCATCCTTCTATTTTAAAAAATGGTTTTAGTATAAGAAAGCTACTTCTTTATACTAGTGGGTAGTTGACGATAAATGTTTAGTTGGTCAATTTACGTACTATTTCTCTAGCTTAATATGATAAATGGTTTCTTTAATTTCCGTCTGTGGAATCAGTTTATAAAAAGTATGCAGTTATATGGTATTTGCACAACAGGGTGTGGGATGTTGTAGTGGAAAGAACATTGGATTTGGAATCCAGAACTGGTTTCAGATTTTTACTTGTTACATACTGTGTGACTTTGGACAAGTCACTTAAAACTTCTTTCATAAAATTCAGAGGTTGGTATGGAAGGCCTAAAATGATCCCTTCCAGCGTAATATCCTGTGAACTTTAAATTTCCCGAAGTAGAAAATACTTCCAAATCTAATGCTCTTTCCACCATATAACCTCCCATCCGCTGTGAGACAAATACTCCATAATCTCATACTTTTTTTAGAATGACTTACACAGACAGAAATCAAAATCCCCACCTAAAACTTTCAAAGTATCTCCAACAGATAATTCCCAAGCCATTTTCCAGACACCAAAAAAATTTAGGAACTTTAAGGGTGGATGAAGCTCTGGGTGTCACTAGTAAGACTAAGCTAGGCCTGTGGCAGAGGAAAGGAAGAGTTGAAAGCCATGGTAGGGTGGGAGAAAGTAGTACAATGGGAGAGAAGGAAAATTGAGTTTTGGGGAGTGGCGACCAATAAATGGACTTGTTGTTCAGTGACATTTGTGCTTTAGGTTACTTGCTCCCCTGAAGACCTTTTTTCATTACAGAGAGGCTTTGGCATCAGCTTTGTTTGATCTTCAGTTCATAAAGACTAGGAAAGAGATTTCTAATGATGTTTTCATTAAAATATACTACCCACACAAAATATGTTTCATGGAATTCATTCTAATGGGATTTCTTCAACTACTAGAGTAATTATATGATAATAAAAACTGCTGAGAAAATTGGAAAACAGTTTGTCAGAAATTGGGTTTAGACCAACTCCTTACACTGTATTTCCAAATGGATAATCTGTTTCTTTTCTGTCTCACACATACACACATATCCCAACAAGGGATAGAGAGATTTGGAGAAAATAAAATGGACAATTTTGATTATATAAAATTAGAAAGTTTTTACACAAGCAAAACAAATATAGCTAAGATTAAAAGAGAATCAGTTAACTTGAGGGACAACTGTTTGCAGCTAGTTTCCCAAATTGAGGTTTCATTTCCTACATATATAAGAACTGATCAAATTTATGAAGTCAAGAGGCATTCTCCAACTGATAAATGGGCAAATGATAATGAACAGGCAGTTCTTGAGGGAGGAAATCCCAAGGTTTCCACAGCATATGAGAAATTCTCTAAATCATCAATGATGGATGGAGAAGAAATCATAGCAGCTCTGAAGTTCCATCTCACTCCCATCAGATTGGCAAAATTGACCTTAAAAAGGAAATAAAAGAGGGGCTGCAGGAAAATGAGCACATTGAGGCACTATTGGTAGATCTGTGCATTGTTCCAGCCTTTCTAGAAAGCAGTTTGTTACTATGCCTCCAAAGCTACTAAACTTTATAGGTGCATTTACTCAGAAACACCACAACTAGGCCTGTACTCCAAGGTGATCAAAGAAAGGACCCTTGTACAAAAACATAGCAGTTCTTTTTGTAGTGGCAAAGAACTGGAGACTGAAGGGGTGGGTGTGTATCAATTGAGGGATGGCTTAATAAATTATAGCATATGAATGTAATTGAATACTATTGTCCTATAAGAAATGAAGAGTTTCAGAGAAACTTGGGAATACTTGCATCAGTTGATGCAGAGTGAAGTAAGCAAAATTAGAAGAGTTTGTACTATTAACAACATTGTAAAGAAAAATAACTGAAAGACAACTCTGATAAATGAAGTGAGCAACCATGATTCCAGAGGACAGATGATGTACAAATACACCCACCTCCTAAATGAGCAAAGATGGACTCAAGGCTCAGAATGAGACACATTTTTGGACATGTTAGTGCAGAAATTTGTTTTGCTTCACTACACATGTTTGTTACAAGTATTCCCCACCCCCTGAATAGAGGAAAGCAGGCTAAGGAGAAGAAATAAATGGCTATTAATGTATAAATAAATAAAACTATTAAATAGTTTAATTTAAAAAACTCAGCTACATAAGAGAGTTATTTTATCCACCTGTGCAATTAATTGTTCATAAAACATTAAATATAAAAGAATAAGAGCAAATTAACAGCTTGTCCCAAGACTCTTTGTATTTGAATCCCATTGAAAAAGATGAGAGGAGCAAGATGACAGAAAAGAAAGTTGCTAATAATTCTTTTTGTTAAAATCTCTTAGTTCATGGAACAGTCTCTTTTTGATAATTGATGATTTTGATAGTTGTTGCTTTGTAATAGTTTTTAATCTGGTTGGATGATTCTAATCATCTTTATCCTTAAAAAAAAAAAACCTTGCAATATTATTGCCTGTTTCTTTGAGATGTATTTCTCTATCCATATACAGAATTCTAGAAAATATAAATATTTAACATGTTAATATAAAGAGCATTGTGAATTTTATGTGAACTTTCCAGCTGGCAACCTAGCAAGGTATATCTGTTAACTTATCCATGTCTTATTTGTCCCACTAAAGTTTGATGAGAAAATGGGCTTTTATGGACAGAATTACTGATTGCATGCTGTCTTTTCTTTCTCTATTAAATTCAGGTACACATCTCTCCCAAGGAGAGAGGTATTTTATCCTGTCCTGGACGCGATGAGCAAAGTTGGTTTTTTCCCCCTCTAAGAAGACTGGAGAGCGCAATCCATTGTATAATTGTTGAATATGTTCTAATGTACACAGGTTTTTAATTTGTTAATCAGCAAAGTATATTTAGAAAAAAGGATGTTTGAATAGTTGAATAAAACAGCGAGAATGTGAAAGTCCTAAATACTGAAAACTCTTAGTCAGCTTTATTATTGATGTCAATAAAGTTTTACTTTTCAAATTCTGAATTTTTAAAAAACCTATCACTACATATGCTTCAATCTGAAACGTACATTTTGAGTATAATTTGTATTTAGATTATGAAAGTTGAAGTCTAAATACTGTATTTTCTGTCGCAGCATTCTGTTGAAGTAATTTAACTTCTGAATACTTTCTAAAATATTTTTAGATTTTTATAACTCTGCTTATTTTACAATTTGACAATGATTTGACTCCATAAGGATTCATCCCAAAACCAGTCTTTTTTAAGTACAAATGGACTGAATTGGCCTTAGAAGAAAGGATTCTGTAAACATTCATTAAGGACTTGGAATGTGCAAGGAACTGTCCTAAGTGCTAAGAATACAAAGATGAGCAGGACAGGGACACAGAAGGCAAAGGTAGACTGCAAAGTGCTTTGAAACATTAAAGCAAGAACAGCAAGAACTTCTCGTGGATAATCAGAGAAAACATTAAACAAGGGATGTCACATCAACTGGGTTTTAAAAGACTGATGAAGTAAAAAGGGTAGACCTGAAGTGAACTACATTTTGTTCAAAAAAATTTAAACATTCTGTTCTTGCCAAGTAAAAGTAAATTTACTTCTGGTACTTTTTTTCAAAAACCTTGATGGGTTTAATTATTCATACTTATTCCCACCTGATACCATGAATTTAATTCCATCACTGGGTCATCCAAGAAATGTACAACCAGCTCACTGATGAGTGAAATTCTGGGCACAGGAGAGAACACAAGAAAGTCAAAAATACTTTTAAAAAAAAAAAGTGTGGTACGAAGTCAGTAAAATAGTGGTATGGCAAATGTGTTTTAGAGCTTGAGATCCTGTTGGTCAGTGAAATAAATAAAATTTCATCTTTTCAGTGGACATAGTTACATTTAATTGAGACAATGATAAAAATAATTTGCATCACATCAAATGCAGAAGCAGAATAGATGTGACATCTGGAGAGGAAGTATGTAGAGCAAGTTCGGCTCAGTCCCTAGTTTTGAGTAACATTCATTTTTATTGGATGAGGAAATTACAAAGTTTCATAAATCAAGTTCAAGTAGATTAAATGTTGAGACTATGTCAACTCAGATTTTGGAAGGGCATTAAAGTAAAATATCAGCAATGCTTAAATCTTAGTGTATAAATCCTGCTTTTCCATTAAATGTCAAATTAAAAGCCTTTAGCTTGAAAACCAGTATCAAGTAATGTCCTGCACATTTCACTAGTATATCCCTTTTGATGTAAGTACTAGGTAAAGGGAAGAAGCTTTTTATATAAATGATTTTAATTTTATATAAATGAATTTAATAGAAACAGTTTAAAGGCTATTAAGTCTGGTACAAGAAATAGCTTAGCATACTTGTTTTTAATGCAGTGATGCATTAGAAAGATTCCTCTGAAGCCTGTATTAATATTATAATTTGCTGGGATGCCAAAAAAAACCATAAAGCAAAGGTCTTACTAGTTCCTTTGCTGGTTCTCATGGCTATATTGTTTTCCTTAGAAGCATATCAAAATCTATCTCTTAAGACAAAAAAAGCGTGCTATTTTAAGACCAAGGCTTTGGTGAGTAGGGTCGGACAGAACAGAGAGTGATTCAAAATATATGTTCTCCATGATAAAAGTTATTAAATAATGGAAGAAATAATACTCAAAAACTATGTTACCTGCTAGAATTGCGTAAAACGAATTTCCGTTGTATTCTGTATGACTGAAGAATGTGACAATGCCATATCTCCAGGAAATTATCAAGTGTTGAGATTGAGGTTTTTCTTTCATAGCATTGAGCACTTTGATAGCCTTATCATCAATGAACCATCAATATATGACAAGATCCACAAGTACAAGTAGTATTGACACTGATTTAAAGGCTTGACAATTGTTGCATGAGCTTTAATAGAATGTGTGAGGAATTTCTTGATGTTCAACAAAGTTAATTTTGGCACTTTGTCCAGCATTTGAAAATTTCTCCATCCATCCTCTGTAACGTCATTCAATGAAAGAAAAATTTTTAAGTTTTTGGAAACCTCCATTGATTGGAACCTTGGGTAAGAAAAAAAAAATCAAGATCCTAGAGATACAAAGACATTCTGATGGAAGAAATAACATATGCACGAAGAAGTATAGTACAGGGAAAAGAACACTGACGGGAGTCAGAGGACCTGCCGTTGTCTGTTACCTGTGTGACCACAGCCAACTCACCCTCCTGGGGACTATCAGTAATGAAGGGGTTTGAACTAGATGGCCTCAAGGGATTTTTCCCACTCAAGGTTCTGTGATCCTATGTTTAATGTTTTCTCTGATTATCCACGAGAAGTTCTTGCTGTTACACTTTTGGTGGTGGGCACTGGTACCCTGGCAGGATCAGGAAGGGCCTCATGTAAGAGGTGGTACTTGAGATGAAGTTTGAGGGGAAATAGGGTCAGGGAATACATTAGACTTGGGGGACAGCATGGAGATAGAGGAAATGTTGTGTAGAAGGAGCAACAAAAGGGCCAGTTGCTAAGGGATAGCCATGGGAAGTGTGCCAAAGGCAGACTGAAATGGTTTTCGTGCCAAACAGATTATGTTTTGTCATCGAGGCAATAAGGAGCTCCCAAAGCTCCTTAGTAATTAATAAAAAATAGTAATTAATAAAAAAAAATGGTGGCAATCTTGTGTTAGAGTCATAGCTGAAAACATGAAAGATTGAAATTGAAACTTGAGGAAACTACCCGTGTGCGATTTCATGGAATGTTTTTGAAGCGTTTGTCCTTCAGATTTTTTCCTTGTGGACAGATTGGCTGCGAGCTGCCCTGCTCTAACTGTAACCAGAAGTCCAGATTTCATTGGGATATATGTTTTTATGTCCCAGACTAGATCGGGAGAGAGCTATCAAAAGTCAGTGGTCTACAGGGCTAAAGAGACTTGGGAAAAACTAAAATGTGAGGAGGGTTTTTTTTGTTTTTTTATTTGTTTGTTCTTTCCCAGAGTCTTTAATGTGTTTTTGTCATTCACAAAGATGAAGTGCTGAGAAATAAATATTTTTATATTCATGTATGAACAGTTTGCTTATAGCTTACAACCTTTGTCCTTAGAGATACCCTCCAGCTCTACAACTTGACTATGGAAAAACCCACAGGCCATAAGTAATAGCTTTTCATCTTCACAACTGCAGCACCACTGAGGATAAGGGGCTGGCTTCTCTTTGAAACCATCGCCCTCAGCTGAAGGAATGGTTCACTTTATTGGTGGAAGAGAAGAATAAAGGCCTACTTGCTCATTTCCAGTCCTTCCTGCTTCCTGGCTTAAGTTGGCTGGTTAGAAATATTGCTTTAGGGAAGGGAATCCATTTGCCCCAAAATGTGATTCCCCTTCTATCCCAAACTCATTTTCATTGTCTGTATCTGTATGACTACAGACAATATGGAAATACCTCCTGATCTACAGAGACAGGATTGGGGGAATAAAGCATACACTTCTCTTTGCTACAAATTTTGTCCCCATACCCTATACACACATATTGCCTATAGGTTGCTGGGAACCTGAGCCCTTGAGAACAGGGCATTATCAGCTAATGCAGCTTTCTCTCTGAATGTAATCAGAATTGGTGGGAGGGGCTGGAAAGGTGTGGGGAGATAGGTATCAATCTGAGAAGCATTTCATGGTAAAGACAAAAGCTCATTTTTTATTTTATTCATTTGTAGAATATCTTCAAATTGGGACAATATCCTTCATTTCCAAAATTGATCATGCCAATTTCCATTGCACACATATAACTTGGATTATAAAGCAACATAACTGGAAAAAATTAGAAAAGGTTGGTTGTTTGGAAAGGGAAATGTTTTCTTATAAACTGTAGGATTTTATTTTTGCACCATGTAAACTGAAGCTCTACCTCACATTCAGTCTAGCAGAGCAAATGTTTTTTTTAAAGCAAACAATTTCCATCAGTCCATCATTCAGATTTTATAAAGTAAAGGACTCGGGAATGAGGAAGCTTTGAGGACTGCTGAGCAATCTGTTTTGTTGCACGGCATACTCCCTCCCTGTAAGGTAGGATCAGTTCCTCTAGATTGTTTTAAAAAACTAAGTTTGTGCTATGAAAGGAAAAAAATTATTGCTCTTAGTGTGCTTCCTATTTCTTCTGTCCTCCTCTGCCCAGATAATAGTGCCTCCCTTCCCTACCCCATCCCCTCAAAATACTCGACTTAAAAGCATGAGAATGTTGTAAGATAGGTTCAATAGTGCTTGTGGTTATGGCATGAATGGAGGCAAGGTTAGGATGGCATTAAATGACACCATTAGTGATTTATAGAAATAGCCCACCTTTAATGGCTTTTTGAGACTTCTGTACTCCCAGATAATCTGTCAGTGAGATAACTGAACTGTATCTCAATACTGGGAGTATTTATTTTATCCATGTTGTTTCCATTACCACTGTAGTTGTAACCCCTCAGTAATTTAACAAATGGTCTTCAGAAGTTGCTGTGGCCAAAAAAAAAAATCATCCTATGGCAAACCTTTCTGAACTGGTTTAGACTGGTCCTTGGACAGCAAACATAGAGTCAAACCTTTGGAACATGGTAAGGCTTACTCAAGCTTGTGTAACCCTGGAGACCCCAGGGTCACCTCACCATGATGAGGCATTAGACTTGAGTAAACTTTCTAGAAAATCTGTATTGTAAAGTGAGCTTTAAGTAACTATTAACAAGTCTGAGCTGAGGGTAGTGGTCTGCATGGAACCTACAAAAAGGAAATCCAGAATAAGAATTTGTCAGGGTGTCTCCTCCATCTCTAGCCTCCTGATTTCCCGTTGCCTATTAGACATCTCAAGCTAGATGTCTGGAAAACGTGTTAAATTCAATGGGTCTAAAACAGCACTCATTATCTTTCCCTCTACCAGACTCCTCCTAACTTCCCTATCATTGTCAAAGGTTTGCCACCTAGGGTCATCCTCAGCTCCTCGAACTCTCTCATCTGTCTGTATCCCATTTGTTGCTAGGAACTTTCAATTGTACTTTGGAAACATCTCTTGAA